TTAAGGAAATGGTGGGTCATGGAAGTTCATGTGTCACACTTCAATGGCACCTCAACGAAGTTCAACAATGGGTCTCAGGACACCTGTTATCATGAAGGTTCATGTGTCTCAGGACAATGGTCCCTCATAGAGGTTCCTATGTGTCAGGATAACTGTGCCTCATGGAAGTTCTTGTGTCTCAGGAAAGCTGTATCATGGAGGTTCTTATGTCTCAAAACAACAATGCCTCATGGGGGTCCAGCTGTCTCAGTACAACTGAGCTATATGGAGGTTCATTCGTCTCAGCACAACTGTGCTTCATGGAGGTTCACGTTTCTCAGGAAGTGGTGTCACGAAGCCTCACGTGGTTCACTTCAACAGTGCTTTAATGAGGTTCAAGGCATCTCACGACAACTGTGCCTCATGCAGGTACTTGTGGTCCAGGGAAACCGTATCATGGAGATTCCCTATTTCTGGGGCCTGAGTATAACTGTGTCACAGGAGGTTCATGTGTCTCAGGACACGGTATACCATGCAGGTTCATGTATCTCAGGACACGGTACACCATACAGGTTCATGTGTCTTGGGACACAGTACACCATACAGGTTCATGTGTCTCGGGACGCAGTACACCATAGAGCTTCATGTATCTCATGACACGGTACACCATAGAAGTTCATGTCTCAGGAATACTGTGCCTCATGGATGTTCATATATCTCAAGACAACGGTACCTCATGGAGTTGTTTTCTCAGGACAACCGTGCCTCATGGCGTTTGGTGGGTCTCAGGACAATGGTGTGTCATGGAAGTTCATGCATTTCAGGACAACGGCGCCTCACAGAGGTTCTGGACTCTCAGGAAAACTGTATTATGGAGGTTCATTTGTCTCATGACAACTGTGCCCCGTGGAGGTTAATGAGTCTTGGGAAAATTGTTCTTCTTAGAGGTTCATGTTATCTGAGGAAATGCTGTCATGGAGGTTCATTTGTCCCACGTCAATGGTGTCTGAACGAGGTTAAGTGTGTCTCAGGACAAGATCATGTGTCTCAGCAAAACTGTGCCTCACAGAGGTCCCGTCTCAGGACAGCTGTGACCACGGAAGTTCCTGTGTCAAGACAAATGTGCCGCACAGTTCATTTGTTTCAGGACAACTGTGCTTCACAGTGGTTAATGTTTCTGCGAACAACGGTGCACCATGGAGGTTCAGGTGTCTGAGGACAACTGTACCTCATGCAGGCTCATGTGTCTCAGGACAGTGGCGCCTCATCGAGGATCATGTGCCTCAAGACAACTGTGCCTCACTCATGGAGTCAACTGTCTCAGCAATGGAGGTTCATGTGGCTCAGAACTGTTTCATGGAGTTTCGGGAGCATGAAAACAACTATGATCCGGAGGTTCATGTGTCTCGGGATAGGGTAGATCATAGAGGTCCATGTGTCTCAGGATAGATCACAGAGGTTCATGTGTCTCAGGATATGGTAGATCATAGAGGTCCATGTGTCTCAGGATGGGGTAGATCAGAAGTTCAGGTGTCTGAGAAAACGGTCACTCATGAAGGTTTATGTGTCACAGAACAAATGTGCCTCATGGGTCGTGTGACTCAGGGCAACTGTTACTCAAGGAGGTTCATGTGTCTCAGGGCAACTGTGTTCCTGGAAGTTCATGTGTCTCCTGACAACAGTGCCGCACAGAGGTACCACGTGACTCAGGACAACTGGGTCTCATGGAGATACTATGTCTCAGGACACTCGTGTCTTACAGAGATTCTGGGGTTTGAAGACAGTGCCTCAGGAGGTTCATGTGTTTCAGGAATACTGTGCCTTATGGCGTTCCATGTGTCCCAGGACAATGGTGCCTCATGCAGGTTCATTTGCCTCAGGACCACAGTACCACAGAGGCTCATGTATCTCAAAATACCTGTTTCATGGAGAGTCCATTTGTCTCGGGACAACTGTGCCTCACGGAGGGTGTGTCTCAGGAAATGGTGTCATGAAAGATCATCAGTCTCACTTCAACAGCGCGTCCATGTGGTTCAATGTATCTTGCACAACTGTGCCTTATGGAGGTTCGGTATGTCACGGGGCAATGGTGACCATGGAAGCTCAGGTGTCAGGACAACTGGGTGTCACAGAGGTTCATGGAAGTTCAGTTGTCTTAAGACAACTGTGCTAAAGGGAGGTTCATGTGTCTCAGGAAAACCGTAGCATGGAGGTACCATATGCCACCGGGCAATGGTGACTCATTTCAACAGTGCCTCAGCAAAGTTAAACTGTGCCTCACGGAGGTTCGTGTATCTCAGGACAATGGTGCAAGTCCGCTCCAGCGGCTCTTTGGAAGTACATCTCCAAGCGGTTCTCCTGAGGTGTCACTTGGTAGACATTAACTTCAACTCTGCGGTGAGCGGCCAAGTGCACTAACACTTGCAGTACCCAAATGGCTTTAAAGCTGTGCTCTCTGGTCACTGGAGATAGGTGAAGGAACAGCCTGTGGGGTTAGCCCAGCAGTACTCCTAATACAGGCATGATGCCAAGGAAGTCACCCCTCCACCAGTACGGTCCCCCGGAGACAGTCAATCTTCGGTCACTCATATAGCCCCAGCATACACAGATACAATATTGGCTATGGGGCCGGTAGGTAGGAAGGCCGTTTCCCTCCTGAGCTGAGACCTGCCTTCTCCTTCTGGGCTTTCCCTGGGCCCATATGGCCCCCCACATTCATCATCCAAATGTGCGGTGAGCCCTCTGGAGCAGGCCATGTCTGACCCAACCTTGCTCCACAACTTCCAACCTCAAAGGCCCTCCCCCCTCCATAGGCTTGCCGGGTGGCTTGCCTCTTCTGGCTTCCCTAGTAACTTCCGCTTCGGGGAAAACTTCCAACCAGGGGTCAGCCTGTGGTCTGAAAACCTAGCACCACCTGCAGCTTCTGCTTCAAGCCAAGCCAGGCCTCCTTTGTGCTACTGCAGGCAGAGCTCTACGATGATCCCATGCTTTCCCGGGACCCGGGACCAAACGGGGTGCCCAAGTCCTGGTGCAGAGGGAGGTGTCCCCTGGCAGAGGACAGCCCGCTGGACAACACTGTGGGGGCCTGTTCTGAGCTCTGTTCTATGCTCAGTAGCAGCCCATCGGAGAGAAGAGCTCAGAGCTGGCAGGCACTGGGTCCCCAGTCCAGCTGCAGTTTCTGGAACAGGACTTCAGGATTTGAACCTAGATCCTCCAAATCCTTGACAGGAACTTACCTTTGTCCAACTTTCGCCGTTTGGGCAAGAGAACAGAGTGCTCTAAAGTCCTGGTAATTAGAGGAGTGAATCTGTTACCTGTAAACAGGAGTCTGGTGGTGCAGCAAGTTAGGCACTGGGCCACTAACCACAAGGTTAGTAGTTCGAAACCACCAAGCTTTGCAAAGTTAGTCTCAGAAACCCACAGTGGCAGTTTTGCTCGTCATCGATGATGGCAGCGAGTTTGGTTTTTTGGTTTGATGGCTTGTGAGGTGCTGAGCACTCCCTCTGCTCCCATCTATTTGTATTTATTTTTACTGCTATTAATGTGGGGAAACCCAGCATCAGGCATGTAGAGGCTTAGAGCTAGGAGTTTCCCTGCTGAGATCCCAGTCCTGCCCTGTGGGTAGGTGGGGCCCCTGGAGCCTGGTAAGGGGGCCAGACACGAGGGGCAGGATGGAGATGGTCAGAAAGCCGGCCTGCCTATGGTGAAGCAGGTTCTGAGGGCTGACTGTTCCAGGGTCAGGTCCTGCAAAGGACACGCTGAAGACAAGCCTGAATTACTGGGGCTTAGAGATCAAACCATATGCACAGAGGAGGGTGTGGGTGGTAGGTAAGGAATGCGGGGACCCAGAGCAAGAGGCTGGCTGAGGAGGAAAGCAGGTCCAAGGGCCACAGTAAGGTTTTCAGAAGAAGAAAACAAAGATGGGGGAAGCCAGGAGAAGGGATAATAAGGCAGCCCAGTCCTTACAGGAGGAAGATAGTTTAAGAGTCCTTACAGGAGGCAGAAACCTTAAAACGTGTGTGCCTGCACGGACACATGGGCATGTGCATGTGTGTTTGCATGCATGTACGCATGTGTGCACGTGCACTGGGCTGGCGGGTACAAAGGGTCCCGTGCTGGCCTCTGCCATTATTGCAGGCATGGAGGATGGGGGCAGGCCGTGCCGGAGGGAGGAGCTTCAGGATGTCCTCAGTGGGGGAAGTGTGTGTGTCTGCTGGTGACTCCCCAGCAGTGTGCCTTGTCTCTTCTCTTCCAACCCCTCAGAGCCAGATGACAGGGCCAATAACGAGGATATCAAATCCCACGCAGAAGCCAACAGCGGGAATTCAGGTTGGAGCAGGCTGTATATATAACCCAGGGAGGGGCCCGGAGAGAGACCAGGAGCTGCAGGTCCTACCGTCCCCCAGCCCTTAACAAGCTGGGCCCAAGGCCTGGAGAGATCAGCGATGCCACTGGCCCCACTTCACAAGGGGCCTCAGGGCTCACCCAGGCCCCACGCAGCTCCTCCCAGCTGGCCTTCCTTCGGGCCGCAGCACCTGAGGGTTTTCCTCCGGGTCTTCACTGGGTGCCTCTCTCCGGACGCCTGGCAAGCCCACGCAGGTCGGCGTCCAGCTGTGCTCCACAAGCTCCCCAGGCCTTTGTGCCGAGGCTCCTCTGGGTGGGCTCAGAGCTCCGGCTCTTCCGTTAGCAGCAGCCAGGAGCTTCCCCCGTGACGGCACCAGAGCCTGCTCCTCCAGAGCCAAAGCTCTTAGGGGTCACCCCGGTTCCACAGGTTATAGCTGAGCCTCGAGCCCTCTTCAGGCAAAGCTACCTTCCAAGAACACTTCAGAGGGCGTGCACAGTCTGGAAAGAGGCTCAAACTTAGTCCAGATGGTGCCCAAGAAGGGCCTTCTTTCTCCTCTCCATCCCGGCCCCGTCTCATCACAGCCTGGCCACAGGCGCCGCCAGCAGCCTGGCTTTCTACGGACATGTTCCCAGCCATCTTGAGAGCGACCCCAAATAAGGACCACAAGAACAGCAACTTTAATATAAAGATATATTCCATAAAAGAGTTTTGGCAGCAGGCAAAGAAAAGTGTCACATTTCCTAAAAACACGAGTATCTTTTCCCTAGTCTACTGAGAGGAAAATTACCAAAATCAAAAGAAATAATATTGTCCACAAACACCCACCAGTATGCACCAGTCTGGAATGTACACTTGGGCAAGTACGTAAAGGTAGACGCGATCCCTGAACAACGGGGGTAGCACTGGTCCAGCTATGGGCAAGCGTTAGGAGAGAGCCCAGCCCCATGACTTTCCCAGGGGTTACTCGGGACACAAGACAGACAGCATCTCTCAAACAGGCCCTGACAGGAAGCTGGGCATGGGGACCAGGTATCCCAGTGGGGCACTCGACACAGAGTGAGAAACAAAACGCCCTGGTCTTCGGAGCAGCTCCAGCCTGGGGTCAAGACTCTGCCGAGGAGTCCGACCACAGAGGCCCTCTTCCAGGATAAGGTATACCAGGCTGACCAGCCTTGGCATGTGGCCACCATAGGGGCCCTGGCTCTACAGGGGGAAGGGAGGGAGGGGATTCAAGTTCTAGGGACAGTCAGTAGCACAAAGACCATAACAGACAGGAGGCCAGTCTGGGTGGGGAGTGGGGGGGAGGGTCTGGGGAGCATAGGATGAGGACACACGGCACCAGGGTCACTGGGGACGAAGGAGGGGCTGCTGGGGCTACTGGGGGCATGGATAAGAAGGGCTTCAATCCAGGACACCATGTAAGGCTGCTTAGAAGAGGATGCCAAGGAAAGAAGAGGGCAGGAAGACAGGCGGTGAGAACATTGTTACCACTATAAATAAACTATGTACACTGTGAGACCACGCCCCCCAATGCCTAATGCTGCAGAAACCAAAGCGGGGCTTGCCTGGGGAGGGGCCTGGAGGGCAGTGACGAGGCTTTCCGGTGGCACACGCGGGCTCAGGCTTACTTCACAGCGGCATGGTCGAGGGTCCTGCCAACAACAGCCCAGTTGCCGAGGCCGGAGGTCTGCTTGCTTTTCCCACACGCACACACACCAGACTTCAGATGAGGCCCCTTGGCCGCTGGTTGGTCCACTCTGTGAGCACCCCCAGCTCAGCCCCGCTCACCACACGAGGTTGGCACAGAGTGAGCAGGTAGCCTCGGGGTGGGAGCTGGGTGGCACCTGACCTCAAGGAGGTCTGACCCTGTTTGAGCAGACCACAGTGGGGACACAGTCACGCGTCCACATAGGCAGGAAGGACCACGTTCTGCGGCGGCAGCACGTCGCGCTGGTGCAGAGGGCAGGGCACTGGCTCTCTCTACAGTAAAAGTCAGAGACGCGGACAGCTTTGCCTCAACCACGGGGCTTGGTTCCTCACCCACCTCCGCTGCTCAGAAGTGGTGGCCTGCCTTCACTGCCTCAATGTCGGAGATCAGGGTCCTTGCCAGAAAGATGCCGAAGATCTGAAAGAAAGCCAACAGTCAGCAGTTGGGGGTGGGGGGAGCCAAGGATGAGGGCACAGCCCTGCCACCACCCATTTCCAGGGCCAAGGGTGCAGAGATGAAGCCCTTGAAGGAGAAACAGACAGACCACTGCCGTGTAGTCAATGTCAACACACCACCAACCCCACGTGCCCCGAAGCAGAACTCTGCTCCCTGGGGTTTTAAAATTATCTTTTCTGGGGTGCTTGTAGGCAGAATCGAACCTCCAAACAGCACCACCGGGATGCGAACACTTGGTCACAAGCAACAAGCTTCCCACCCACAAAGTGTGGGTACCAGGCAGTCTACGGCTGCATCTCTGGGGCTACAACACACAACATGGTTCCTGGGTGCAGATGGATGCTCTGCTTAGCCTCCAACTCGTCACATACTTACTA